GGACTCACGCTTGAACTCCTCAGGGTTGCCTTTGGAGGGGTTATGTCTATTGCCAAAGGAAACTACGATTGGCCGACCCTTTTTATCGTGACCTTGCATACAGGCCTTGTTATGCGATAGATCATTCGCAATCTCTGACTCTGGTATGTAGCCATTCGGAAGAATTGTTCTTTTCCAGGTCAGGTACTTGAGAAACATAGTTGAAGCCTTTTCAATGTCCAAGTCACGGGCTCGCAAGAATCGCCTGATCATCAGGTCGTCCACCTCCTGCAAATCATCACACCCTTATCATCACGAAAACAGCCATTTAATGTCTTCAGTAAGCAAGCTAAAAAAATGAGAAGAAAGAGGGACCAAACTAACCTTAGTAAGTGAATCTTCTCGCTCGCAAAGAGCTCTCATGATCCCGACTTTGCTCCTCTCGATCTCATCTTGGATCACCGGACCATTCCCAAAGTCAGCGCCTACAACAGTCTCCTTGTCCATTTTTTGTGGATACAGAAAGTCAACGGACCAGATCTCTAAACTGGAAACAAACACAAAAGAGTGATCGGATCGGTCATATATGAAGAGAGAAAGTTATAGCTGGATAATTAATTCAAAAAGTCTCCCAACATTTTCTTTTAAAAAATAAAATTAATAATTAGGCAGTCCACCAACCATGACCACAATTTCTTCCATTTGTTTTCGTTTTGCCTTTTTTGTTTTTTTTGAAAAAAAGTCCTCTTTCTATCACTATGACATCGACCTGGTTAATTTTTTTTTAATCGTTGATGGCATGTCTTCACACTGTATGTTCCAATTAACCGAATTTTGTTTCTTATCAACCTCTAAATTGTTTTTATATTTGATGAATAGTACAGATTTCTATTATTATTTCCGATTTTGTTGTTTAATTGTTTTTATTTGTTAATTTTGTGTTGTGAACTCTAATTTAAATGTTAAATCATTTGACRTTGACCGGTAGACAACCCTGAGCTGTGCACGATTTAGATCACTTGGAATTTTTTTTTACCAAATAATTTAATTGAATGTTTAAAATAGAAAAAAAAAAGGTTCTGTTATGAATAAGAGAAAGAGAGAATGGATTGTGTTGTCTTATTTCATGAATAATACAGAGTTTATATAGGGTTACAAAGCTTGGAGAGGAAGTACAACTTGGAGAAGAGGTAAGTCTAGAA